GGACAAGCTCCCAAGTCAGCCTTCAACAAAACTGTGGGGTTTTGTTGTTGTTAAAAGCTACTGTAACAGGCTTGTTTCCCATCATGGCATCTCCATTTCCTCCCAGAGATAAACTACAGCTGTTACACATTTTATTGGAAGGTGTAGTTAATCACTAGCTTTCCAACCCATGCCAATAGTCTTATGGGTCCTCCAGGCCCAGTGCTCTATTGGAACAGTGAACAATTTCATCACTATATCTGCACAAAAATTTCCTGAAACTGAACAAGTGAATGGTGCTCTTTATCATGCTTAATTCTTTATTCATTTGGTGAATTCAAAGTTTCTCATAAAAGTGTCCAAGATTTTTTTTTCACCTCTACAGAGCGAGTTAAACAGAACCCTAACGCCTAAGTGGTATGTAAATGCTATGCACGCAGCAGAGGTGGACAGAAAGGAGAGTCAGCTTATTTTAAAATTAATTTAAGAAATAATAAAACATGAAAAAAAAATAAAAACATTGAAAGCTGTATGGTTCCTACTACTAACAGAGAGTTCACATTCAGCTTAATGACAAATTATTTCCTCTGTCACGAAGTGCAAAGAAACTTTAGTTGAAAGGCACCCTTCACTTTTCAACCTATCCCAAAACCACAAAAGCTTAGACCCCTAAAATGAAGCCTGTTGATTCTCTTTGTCATAGAGCAGTAACACACAATACTTGAGCATGTTCCACAACACAAAAGGCATTTTCAGGGATCTGTAATGGGTTGTGTAGAAGGCATATTTCCAGGTATGCTTGGAGAAACCACAGTGCATTCTTTATCAGGAGAGTGAGGCATCTACCCTACAGCCTCTACTCACACAAAACCACCAGTACATGGCCCTAACTTGGCAAGGCTCTAGCGAGACATGCTTATGCTGTTGGCAGAAGGGAGCTGACCACTTTCAGCATCTGTGTCCTTTGCCAGCTGGCCGAAGAGCATACAGATGCAAGGGAAGCAAATTATCTGCCCACTAGCAAAAAGAAATGCTGAGTAGCACCTAAAGAAAAAGTGTGTGTGCACATGTGCGGGTGAGTATTCATATATATATATTTATTTATATATGCACACCTGTGCTTTGTAAAAGGGAATAATGCAGTTAAATTGGAAAAAAATTGCTGCTATTAGCCCTGTAGTGTCATTCTCTGCAATGCCCTCAAAACCAACAAACAAGCATTTTTTTCTACTAAAACCTTGTAACTTGTATTTTAAAGATTAAACACAAGGACTGCAAGGATGCTAAAGAAAAATTTCCGAACAAAGTCTGAAGTCAGATCCCTTTAAAAAGCATGCAATCACTTACAAGACTTAAGCAGTTTAAAGTAAGCGTATCATTGTATCTTCTTTTTTTTTGTCTCTTAAAAAAAAAGAGTGCCTGTGGAAAAACCACTACACATCATCATTTGGTAAAATACAAAAAGCCTTCTGGGTTCAGAAGATATATGAGAAATGACTCAGAAAAATTAACAGGACAAGAATTTGCAGTTGATAGGTTAGCTGAGAGAGGGAATCTGCCTGTAGATTAATTAGATTCTGCAATCACAGCCCCTTTTCACCCATACACATCCCACCACTATCATTACATGATCAACAGATTTTAATGAAAACTAATGCTTTCTTTTGAGAAATTCCAGCAGGACTATGCAGAAGGTTGACTTTACTTTTCTATATATTTCTTGAAAACTGTACGTATCACAAGTGCACATTTGTTGGCTGTAAAGGTGTACAACAGCAATTTTTTGCAATGACAGTGCAGAGAGGGAATATGAGATCTGTGTGCTAATGAGCTGACACTGCAGAGGCTGGAGCAGTGTTAGTATAGTGCACTACAAGTGCAGAGCAGAAAGACATACGCGGGTTATTTCGAGGGAATTTGATCTGCAGAACTGTACGCATAATTCAACATTAATACTAACATCCTTTATCAGAGGTTATAAGAACAGCATGAGAGATGCTCCAGTGCTGAATTTATACATTTGAGTTGTTATAGTCATATTATTCTGAAACGTTTAAATACATCAGAATTTCCATCTGTGCCTGTATTTTCCCTCTGTTAAGATATTGTACAGCTAAATAATTAGGTGGAAGATAAATACAGAGTGGATGAATACTGTAGGCATGTTTGTAACTGAAATACAGAGAGAGGGGCCTTGCGTAGCAGTGAAGCAGGGAATACATGTACATAAATCAAATTATGCATAATTTAACTGAAAAAGGAATGAGAGGGAGGGGCTTAGGGCAGGAATTTTCTTTTGCTTCTAAACAAGTTTGTTCCCACGTTGGGATATGGCCAAATCAGCCCTACCTAAGGTGGGCTTTTTATCTCTGGCTCATGAGGATACTTCAGAAGAGACTTTTTTCCTCCTGCCCCTGGAATGCACCAAATTGCACCAAGAGGGATATGCAGCTGTACGGTAAGAACATAATTCTTTCCTGAGCAGAGCCCTCCCTCAATTCCTGCACACATGAACACTTACTACAGTCACCTATCACATAAATCAAAGCAAAGGCGAATGAAAAGTATTATTTTATGGATACTGACTAGTACAGGCCCTAGGCTCAAGCTACACATGCTACAATTTCTCCAGTTTTCCTTCAGCTCCTTTACCTATTTGACCACAAAGTCAGTCACAGTCTCCCTCTCCAGTGAAGGCAGTCAAGAGTCACTGCAGGTTCCTCTCCTATGGATCTCTGCCAATTGCAAATATTGATCAAATGGCTATGTGACAGCTCTGGAGAAAATTTATGCTTATCTTCAAGAGAAGTAAAAACGTTGTGGAAATAACTCCTTCACGGCTATGGCAGCACCTGAAATTATCTGCCACTCCACTGGGAACCGAAGATGTGATTAAGGGTACTTACGCCACAATGTTCTACATGTTAGCCAGGTAGTGTGAGGAGCTGCTAGTTCACTGTACTTTATTGATACGTAGGCGCATTCTGACTTTCAAAGATAATTGCTTCCAGATCCAAAGAGAACAACTATGCTATTTTTTTTTATTATTTATTTAGAGCTACTGAGACCTAGATGACTGGTGACTTGGACTCACTGCATTCTTTTCCTACCACCAGTATTACCACATGGTTGACATAGCTATAGACAAGGTCACCTTTTCATTTTCTTCCTTCTGTTTCTTTTTTCACATCTTCTGTTTTTAAATAGGTTACTGTAGGTTGGTGTTCTCTGGTCTATGGTTTCTCCAGAGATTTAAGTTTTCCCAATTTTACTACACTGGTAACGTGTATCGGAACATGCAGCCCTATACTACAGAAAACCAGCTCATCTGACTAAAATTGCCACAGCTTTTACTAAGCAATGACAAAAATCATTCGGTGTCAGGTGAGAAGCATGATGACCAAATAATACGTTGACTGCCTCTGCAGGAACATGTAGTTCCCTTGTCTGGGGGGATCTGTGAAGCAGTAGTAATAGAACTTAAAAAAAATTAATAATTAATCACCCGAGCAGTTTAACATATTTAGTTTAAATCCATATAATTGATATTTAGGAAACTATGTTTGAGATACAGCCTCTTGAAGGGATTATACTGATTAAGGATTAATAGTCTGATATTTGTTCTAAGAGCTGTTGAGGCTGGATAGGATTAGTAAAAAAAGATGCAAAGCACAGACACGCTTTTATTTACCATTTTTTCCCACTTTACCAAGTATTTTTATTGCATATTATATAATTCACCCCCCTGCAAAACTTTTAAAGGTCCCAATTCAAAGCCCTTTAAAAAGTGTAACGCTGCACTAGCAAGAACCAGTCACATGGGGGATATGTTAGAATACCAATCCAAAATTTTGCAAGTATTTCCTTCTTGTATATTTTCTAGCCATCAACTTCCTCAGAAAATAGCTGAAATCCTAGAAGAATAAAGTGTCTACTTGGGTAGCCTTCCAATTATACAGTGTGGGACAGGAATATAAGAAGTATGCTGGCCCCAAGAAACAAAAAAAATGAGGAAATCAGATATTCAAAACATTAAACTGTTTTAGAGCAAGTTTTCTGTACTCCAATACTTGATAATTTTAGTACAATGCTTCCTCTTTGAGCATTTTGTACTGTGAGTATATGAACAGGGCTCCTGTTCACAACACAGTTAGTACATTGCATTCAGAGTTCCTTTAGATGATGTACAGGCATATATCTGTACACTGCAAAGTGCATGCAACTACCTCACAAGAAGAATCCATTCATTTTCAAAGGCTTACTATAAAACAGGTATAAAAGTGAACTTGGATGCATCAGTACACCAAATGCTCAAGAATTGCTATTGGTAAAGGAATGCTTTTTTAAATGCGGAGCATGCACCAGTCTTTCAGAAAGCAATTTCACGTTTTAACACCACATTAACACTACTCAAAGTTCTATTTCGCTTCTTCTGTTAATAAAGGCTCAAATTACATGTATGTACTGCTTGTGCAGAGCTATTTCTCAAAACGCTAAACATTCTGGTTCCATTTTCTCGCCCCTCAGCTCTAACAGTATTTGTCAGTTTACAGTTGTCTCAGCTTTTAACACGACTCTCACTGTAAGAAAACAACCTAGTATTTCAGGGTGGAGAAGGCAAGTAAGCCCCTCTACCATGTCCCCTCAAGGTCACTTGTAAACAGCTGGTTTTGTTTTACTTCAAATCATGCTGTTTCACACGGCTAGGTTGTAGCCCCAACAGAAAAGGGAGGTTAATTCAGCAGCAATTCACTGATCACAGCTAAACAGCGCTGCTACATAAATAAGATGGTTGTTTTTCTGGAAAACAAAACTAAAAGGGTGAAAAGAAGTGGAGAGAGAACTTTCCCTAAGGTATTATTCAACCACAGAATGCTGCAAATCTACTAAACCTCATGCCAGTACACACATTTGTTGCATTATTTTGCACGAAGAACGCCAGGCTACCAGGGAGAAACTGAACGCAAGGATAGATAACAATCATTTTTGTTGCTGTTTTAAAAAAGCATGTATTTACTTACAAGCATTCGTCACTGAAAAACTGTTGGAAGAGTCCAAGTGATCTACATGATAGTTCAAATGGAAGGGCTTTTCTGTGGTATTTTGGTTTGTGTTGTATAACTGCACAGCAAACCGAAATGCACTGTGCTCCTGAACAGTGTTCCTCATGAAAAGTCCACCTATGATGGAAAAAAAACCAAACCAAAACAAAAAGGTATTTCAGAACGAATTTTGAGGAGAAACAGTGGCAATAAGTTATATTTGCATACTGCACATCTCATAAAAGAACGAGCAGGAGCAGGCTGAGCCTGAGCACATAATTCTGACAGAGCACGTACATGAAATACGTACTCCGAGTCCAAAGTTAGGCTTTTAAAGCCATACACCACAGCCAGGTGCCCCCGGAGCGATCCGGAGTCACCGGGAGCTGCAGGTACACCTTGAATACCAGATCACTGACACACGGATGCCCGCACGCTGATTTAGAGTCCAAGTCGGGGAACTGTGCTCCTAAATTATCCCCAGACTACCCAGATAACGTCTCTGTAGAGTTATCTGCTAAAGACACGGGTGGCGTGGCAAACGTGCGGCTTTAAGCGGTCTGGTGGAGAACAGGCAGAGCTGAGCGCTGCTCCAGGGAAGAGACAGGGGAAAGCCCCCGGTTCCACCAGGGTGCCCCCAGCCTCACGGCTCCCCC